GTAAAGAAAAAAGGAATGAAAGATTGTGTCTAAGTTGATATCATTTTTTTGCTAAAGTTGGTAAGTGGGGAGGAGTCTGGCATTAGTTTTAAAAACAAAGTTGTGTTTAAGAGTTTCAACGGGGAATGAAGGTTGAGGTGGATGAGTCTGTTGCTCAAATTTGATAGTATCGAGGCAGACTAATAAGCTTAGTACAAGAAGTTTCAAACCTGATTGCAACAAGAACATAATTATTGCTTTCATACAAGAACAATATGAGCATGACTGATCCAAACATTTTTTTGGTTTATTTTAGATATAGATTGCATATCATGAATAAAAAATAACCAGAAGAGTTTAAAAACTTATCATCGGATAGTTAACACATCAAAGCAATAGGGAAAATAGCATAAAAAACCTTCAAAGTGACACTCACTAGCACTTTAAACCTTGAACTTATTTAACTAGCATATTGAACATTCAACTTGACATTTTGATCACAAAAATCCTTCAACTTGGCTTACTTGTTCGTTAAGTTAAAATTGTGACTTGTTAACCTACAATAGTAGGTCACATGTTATTTTTTTGTTTTATTTAATTAATAATTGCAATTAACAGTAAAAAACCTAAATAAAATTAGAATATTACAGAAAAAATCTAAAATTGAATTTAATAAAAAGCAAAAATATTTTCTTAAAAATTCAAAGTTTTTAAATTGAAAATTTTGCAAATTAAAAACTTTTTTAAAAAAAAAATCATCTAAAAACTATTAAATTTTCTCACAAAAAAATAACTAATTTTAAACATTATCACCATTAACTTGAACACTCTTTGACATATCATTATTAAGAATAACATATTTGGTTATATCGCTAATGACAATAGTGTCAAAATCATTGTTATTTTTATATAAGAAATTATCATCGTTAAAGATATCAACAAAATTAAACGTTTAAAACTTACAAAACATTATTATTAATTCTGATATGACGAAAAGTGCTCCTTTTACTTGTGTTATATCCACACTGTTTATTTTTGAATAATATTTTAAAGCATTTGCCTTATACGCTTTTTAAATATTTAGTTAACACTACAAGAAAACACGTCCTTTACTAGGACGGGTTTTCCTCGTTATTTCCTAGTAAATGGCCCTTTACTAGGAAATAGCGAGGAAACGTGTTTCGTCGAAAGACGTTCATCGTAAAGGCTATTTTCCTCGTAAAAGCCTAGCTACTTTACGAGGAAAGGTTTCCTCGTAAAGCCGTGGAAAAGTTTTCCTCGTAAGNTACAAGAAAACACGTCCTTTACTAGGACGGGTTTTCCTCGTTATTTCCTAGTAAATGGCCCTTTACTAGGAAATAGCGAGGAAACGTGTTTCGTCGAAAGACGTTCATCGTAAAGGCTATTTTCCTCGTAAAAGCCTAGCTACTTTACGAGGAAAGGTTTCCTCGTAAAGCCGTGGAAAAGTTTTCCTCGTAAGCTCCATGTACACTTTCCTCGTAAGAGCATAGTAAAAAGTTTCCTCGTAAACTCGTAGTAGACTCTTTACGAGGAACTTGCTAGGAACGTTTACGACGAATTTACTTCGAAACTTTTACGAGGATTTTACTTCGAAACAGTTTTTTCCTATTTAAAAAAATATTTATAAATTAAAATTATATATATTAAAAAAAATTAAAAAAATTAAAAAATAAATATTTATAAATAACTAAATAATATACAATTAATAAGTTTTAAAATTCATAATATACAATTAAAAACTAAAAAAAAACTAAAAATGATGCTGGTCTTGATCAAATTGGTTCACGAAGTCGTCTCCAGGGTCGTTGGATGCCGGCTGTGACTGAGATGGTGGAGGCTCTTGGGATGGAAGGGCTCCGCTTTCCTGTCTCTGACGCAACACTTCCGCCAGTTGCGGGTTTGTTAGCGCCACAACGTCGAGGATACCCGTGAGCGTACGCACATGAGACTGTGTCGCCTGCAACTCCGTCTGCGTCGTCTGCAACTCCGTCCGTAGGTGCGCATTGTCATCGGCTTGTTGGTGAACATAAGCCGATGTCGCTGCGGGGACATCGTTAACCGAGGCAATCCCGATAACACGGCCCTTTTTCCTCGGAACGACCTGTAAATTAAAATATTAATAACCGAAGCAATAAAATTAAATAAATAATAAAAATTAATATATTAAAATTATTTACCTCCTCGTAAATCTTATCCACTTCAAGAGTGGATAATACGACCGGAGCCCCAGTCTGCTGAGTCAACTGGGTCTGGCGCTCGTCAANGTCAATAAAATATATTTTTAAATAAAAGTATAATTAATATATATTATAATTTTTAAATTTATACCTGAAAGTCGCCCTTCCAGTTGTAGACCATGTCGCACAATCGGGCTTTTGCCTTGGTCTCGAACTCGGACTTCACCCGCTGGTGAATCCCAATAGACCAACGGTATTTTTGCTGCAACCAGAAAAAATAAAAGACAGATTAGTTCAATAAAATTCATAATTTTAAATGATTATAAATAAATTAAATTGATTTACTAAATTACTTACAGCGAACGATTTGAACCACGTCTTTTTGGTGTGGCTCGCCGTCAGCTTCCAGTTTGGAGCTGCATCGGGAAAGTATCCCTTGATACAGTCTCTGACGCTAGATCCGACAGCATTGTCAAGACCAAACCTGGAAAGACAGAAAATAAATCATTAATAAGAACATATATATATATACATACCATAACACTTTTTAAAAATTATTTAATAAAAAAATTTAAAAATTAAAACATACCATAATACGTTTTGGCCGTTCCGCCGGAAAGGATCTAACTCTGGTAGCCCTTCTCTGCCTGGAAGGGCCAAGATATCCTCCACCGTGTACACCGCAAATGGTGCGTTGGGAGGTACCTGCAAGTCAGGCTGAGGAGGTGGCTGCTGAGACCGGGATACCGTAAAACCGCCCTGGGTCTCGGGAACTCCTGAAGCTGAACCACCGGCCGCTGATGAAGAGGACCCGGACCCGAATATATCCGCATAATGAATCCCATGATCCACATGCCTCTTGGACTGAGCAGCATCAACTTTGCTCTTTCTAACCATCTAAATTTAAAAAAAAAACAGAAAACAGAAACAGTTAAACAAACGTAATTAAAAATTCATAATCGAACCACCTAATCTAAATTCCCTAAACTAACCACCTAATCTAAATTCCCTAAACTAACCACCTAATCTAATCACCTAACTAGGAACTAGAGANAACAGTTAAACAAACGTAATTAAAAATTCATAATCGAACCACCTAATCTAAATTCCCTAAACTAACCACCTAATCTAAATTCCCTAAACTAACCACCTAATCTAATCACCTAACTAGGAACTAGAGAGTACCTTAAGAGAAAGTAGAGAGGAAGTTACTATGACTGAGCAGTCGGATTGCTCGTGTATATATAAGAAATAAATATGAGTTAGAGGTTATCTTTGATATTGAAAAAATGTATTAAGAATTAAAATGTTCATATCTAAATCATCATATAGTTGTCGTTTTTATTAACAAAATAAAAAAAATCTATCAAGGTATTAAATTATTAGTAAGATACATTAATATAATTATGGGGATAATAAAATTTCTTTAGTTGCTATTAATATGACCATTAATAATAATGTCGTATGGTTAGAGAAAATAAAGGGGAAGACCAAAATATTAAAAAAAAAGGTCTAAACAACTTTCATAGATAGATTTTTTTAAGACTCATTCCCTTTTAATAGTATTGATATAGTTTATAAAAAATATACACTCATATATCACAAAATTTCATTTGAATAAAAATAAAACACTTGTTAATTCTTAAGAAAATATTTTGGTTATTTTTAAATTAAGATTTTTGAATTTTTCTGTACTTTAAAACAAATATATTTGAAAACTTACACGTTAAAGAAAAAAAATTAAGAAGATATTTTGGTTTTTATTAAATTCAGTTTTAGATTTTTTCTGTAATTTTCTCATTTTATTTAGTTTTTTTTATTATTAATTGTATTTATTAATTAAATAAAACAAAAAAACAACATGTGACCTACTATTGTAGGTTAACAAGTCACAATTTAAACTTGACGAACAAGTAAGTCAAGTTGAAGGTTTTTTGTGATACAAATGTCAAGTTGAATGTTCAATATGCTAGTTAAATAAGTTCAAGGTTTAAAGTGATAGTGAGTGCCACTTTGAAGGTTTTTTATGCTATTTTCCCTATATATATATTACAAAGTATGAGAATTACAATTCAAAGGGCAGACAAATAAATCAATTTCTTGACTAAAAACTAGGTATGTTCAGGCCGGATTTGGTCCGGTTTCGATTTGGTCTTTTAAGTTTTTCAGTATCTCGTTTTATAAAAATTAGTTATCATATTGAAATCATATCTAACTTGGTTTGGTTTGATATATATACTAACACTTTTTGGTTTATTCGGTTTTATAAATAAATGTACCTATATATATTTTTACAACAAATTTTGGTCTATATAATTAGAAATCAGATTTATTAAAACATAGATATACTATTATGCTAATTTTTATCTATAATAGTTTATGTTTTATTTAGATATTAAAATAAAAGTAAGAAAATATTAATATCACTATAATATTATATAACTATATTTTAGCACAAATATTTACCAATTAAAAGTTATTTTTTATTTAGTTTGATAAAAAATGAGAGAATAAAATGTTAACTTAAAAAATTAAGAAATTATTAAAATCAAGGTTTGAGTTATGAATATTATATTAATAAAATAAATTATGTATATTTATTATTTTATTACTAAATATATATATATAAGATTTAATGTTAATATTTCCCATGTTTAAACAATACTTTTTATTTCATATTTCCCACGTTATTAATAAAATTTCTTGGATTTCCAGAAAACAACAACACTAATAATTTAGTTATATATTTAAAATTTCGTGTAGATAACACTGTTGTATTTAAACCGACCGTAACAAAATCTTTAAAAAATAGTTTTATATTTTATATAAAACAAAATTATTCTTATCATCCGGTGTGTCATTCAATGTCATTCAATTTCACGCGTAGCGCAGACCGGTTGTAGTTTCAAATAAAGAAGACTTTACATCATCATAACCTATACACTATTACACAAACACATTCACTGAAACAGAGGAGCTCTGTTTTCACAAAGCCATGTAAGCTCAACCAAAACCTTTCTTCAACACATCTCATCTCCCTCCCAGTTATCTTTCTCCTTTGGTCCCGTAGGACCTTCCTCTCCATAAAGCGCAATAGGAAACAAACTCTCAATAGAATACCTCACAATCAAAGGCAAAAGATTAATAATCTTATCAATCTCAGCTGCAGAATCATACACTATAGTTGGTCCCCACTCTCTCATATACTGTAACCAACACGGCTCTGAAACCACTCCTTCCCCTAAATACTCAGCCGCCACGACTCTATACCTCTTACTAGAATCCACCACATACTTACTCTTCCCAACATCGTTTCTCACTCCAATCCCAAGCTTGGACGAGCCTTGAAGATACATCCCCGGGTGAGGGAAACTCGCGTGTCCGTGTTTAGAAGAGTACACAACTGGTTTGTTGCTTCCTTTAACAAACTCAAGATCAGACACATCAACCCATCCACCACCGCTATGCTGAGAGAAGAACATCTGAGTAAGTTCCCCGTTGAAGTTACTTATCCGGAACGTGAAGTGTTCCCAGTCACCAACGTGTTCTCCTATACGGTTCATTGGTACGGTGAGGAGACCGATCTTGAGCGTGGCGGGACCGTTGAAGGGACAGAAGATCCACATAACAACGTCTGTGAAGATCCCACCGAGTGCTGGCTTCACGTGGACGTAAAGCTCTGAGCTCTCTATGTTTCCCTTCTTTAGATTGTTTGTAGCTTCCTCATCTTCTTGAGGGAGATCAATCCAGTAGCTCCCATCGTTTTTCCCACCTGAAGGCAAGTTCGAACCGGTTGAGTTAATCGGTTCTCCATCCGGTTTACCAAACCGGTACAACAAAGCTCCGTTTTTAAAGAACCATGGCACGGAGGAAGGTAAGTAAGTCTCTTCAGGGTGGAAGTAGACCGTTGGTCCGTAATGTTGGATAAGCGCATGGACTTGGTCAAGATTCGGCATCCCTTGTAAGGTGGGATCAAGGTTTTTCAGACAGGCAATGTTCATGTCCGTTTTGTTATTATTAGTGGAGCAAAAGAATGATCCAACCGCCACGCCTCGTGACCAAATCCCTCTGGAGCACGGTTCCGTGGTCCATACGTTAAAAGATCCCACGTTAAGAATCATCTCACGTGTTTCACAAGTTTCTGTGAGATCCTCTCTTACACATCTCACTTCTTCAGTGTCAGGCTCCTCTGCTTCCTCTGTGACGATGACTCCCACGGCTTTGTAACCAACAGGAGGATTAGGTAACCAGAAGTAGCAGTCTGATGAATCTGAACTCCAAACTAAAGTATAGTTCACTGGTTTCTTCAGTGCAGGACGATGATCATCCTTATCCGAATCGTTGGCCCGAGCTGCAAGAACGAAGCCTCTCAACGGCTGGTTGTTTGGCTGACAGTAATGGCCAAGGCAATGGAAACCTTCTGGTATACCCACAGGTTTGTAAAAAGATGCACATCTTGATTTACCGCCACGTGTCTTGCTACATTTCCAAACTCTATCAAACTCAGTTACTTTCACTACTTGGATCTCTCCGAGGTTTATCCTTCCCGTAGCAAAACCTGTGCCTGAAAGAAAGAGTAACAAACGGTATTTAAGTAAATCAAAGTATTAAGCAACTTGGTGAATTAATAACTAAAAAACTGAGTTATCAAAACTATCATTATCAAGAACTACTCAACATTATCCAAGGGGGGTTGTTGGACCTCGTGGCATGAATAATTAAAGAATCAAAAACATGTATAAACTATGATATAGAATAATATACCATAAGCATCTTCAATGTGCTACATTAATAAACAATAATAGTCTTTTTCAGTGGTCATACATTATTGCTTTCATTATTGAAAGTCACATAAACCTACCTTCTAAGCAAAAACATTATTGATTTTTAATTTTGGATAAAAGTCTACAACATTTTTTCTTCATTACCATTAATGTTTTTAGTCCAATGACATTGACGACCAAAGAAACAGTCAAATGACAAGAGGTACCAATGTTTGAATATTCAAGCAGAGGAAAGTTCAAAACTAAATTTAGCCATAAAACTGAATATCATGGAAACAATTTAAAACGCATCTTGATGAAGTATTATGACTAATCAAAATCAACTATCTGATTAACAAAAGGTAACTCAAACATTGATACAGTAAATGTTTTTGTTATATAGAAACTGAAAGAACACAACACTTGAGATAGTTTGATTGATTTGAAGTGAAAAGATTAAAAGGCCAACCAAAATATATCCAAATGATAAATATATGATCCTTAAAAGGGAAAGTAGTTTGATAAAGAAAATTCTGCAAAGTTAAAGTAAAACAAATTGCAATTTCCAATAAAGGATTATTGTTTATTACCTTGTGGCCATCGAGGAAGAGGACACGGAAGCGAGAAAGGCTTTGACTCGAACGATTCCGATTCTAACTCGGAGTTTCCTTGGTTCCAGTAGAAGCAATCGCAAAACATCGTCTTAGAAAGATCGAATCAGAAGAGAAATACACGATTTTGATAACAAGTGTTGGAGACACAGATTTGTGGAAACTTCCCCACTTGCTATCTCTATCTCACGATCACTTATTAGAGATCGGAATATTGTGAGAACAGATAGATTATCCTTGGCAGACTTCACCGCGAGGAGAGAGAGAGAAAGAAAGAGAGACAGAGAGACAGAGAGACAGAGAGACAGAGGAGGCGTTGAAGCTGTGTGTTGCGTGTTTTAGAGGGAAGTTCTGTTCAGTGGTGTGGTGGTGGCTTTGGCCTTTTTATTTTAATTTTTTTTCGTGCTTTTTAATTCTTTACAGATATTATCCCTTTCTTTAAACGTTTTATATAAACGCCCATGTATTTACAAATAATTCAAATATCAGCCCAAATAAAATTTATTGTGTAAATAATTAAATATCAATCATCTTGAACAACAACAAACATTTACTTTCTTTTTTTTATCAAAACAATAAACATTTACTATGAAAGTATCAATTAATGAAACTCTAGCTTATGGCATTTCACCAGAAGCTGCATGTTTTGTTTGCTTATCCGCAAAGAACAATAATTGCTTAGAAGTTTTATCTATAGTGGGGGTTGGTCTCTGTCGAATGGGAAGTTCCACTAGGTCATTTTTAATATGCATTTTAAGCAATTATAATATAAAATCACATTAATCTCAGATATATTAAACTCCATATCAGGATATGTTTACAGAAACAAAACTGCGAACGAAACAATTTTAATATCTATAGTTTCGACGAATCGAATGAACATTATTCAACCACTGACATAGTGCAAGTTCTATATTCTTCAAAAAAAACTTTTTGTATCATACGTAGTACTCTTGAAATAAATACGAAATTAAAATGATTGTACTGATTTTTTTCTTGGTAAAAAGACTGTACTGATTTTAGAGATGGAAAAGTATTGTACTACTCCCTCCGTTTCATATTAAGTGTCGTTGTAGAGAAATTTTTACGTTACAAAATAAGTGTCGTTTTCGGTTTTCAATGCAAAATTTATTAATTTTAGGTATAATTTGTTATGGGTAATTGTGTTTTTATATAGAAAATATGTAAAATTAATTGTTTCCTTAATCCGTGTGCACAGCTGTAGAGTGACACTTATAATGAAACAGAGGGAGTAGTACATAAGGTAGACGGTAGACCATTAATTTGATGCATCGAGTAATTATCTAACTAGTAATAAAGGATTCAACTTAATAATTTTACGTTATTTAAAGGGAGGGAAAATTTCATATAAATACCCAACTAAATTCTATTAAGCTTTTTAATACCTAAATTTTTTCACTACCCAGTTTAATACCTCAACTAATTATTCTGCCATTTTAATACACTAACTTTTATAACTGTATCTATTTTAATACTCAAACTTTGTTTATTTTAATTAACAATACTAATAAATTTCAAACGAAATTTTAAAAAATCTCCAAAATCTAAGAAAAAATATTTAAATTTTCTAAGTTTATTTGAAGATTTAAGAAATAAGGTAAACAAACTCTGTAAAAAATTTAATTTTTAAAAAAAAGTTTTTGAAGGAAAAAAAAATAATTTACTTTTTATTTCAAAAAAAAAAAAACTAAATTCAATATATAAAACTTAAAAAACTTATTACAAAACTTAAGATTATAGAAAATTTATTTAATTTCGTTACTCAAACATATAATAAAATTAGTTTTTTTTGTGAAGTTTAGACATTTTTAAAATTTCATTGGAAACTTATTAGTATTGTTAATTAAAATAAACAAGTTTGAGTATTAAAATGGATACAGTTATAAAAGTTGATGTATTAAAGTGGACAAAATAATTAGTTGAGGTTTTAAACTGGGTAGTGAAAAAGTTTAGGTATTAAAAGCTTAATAGAATTTAATTGGGGTATTTATATGAAATTTTTCCTTATTTAAAACATCCCATTATCACTAGGAAAACTTAAATGTCAGTGTCATTAATTTGTCATGGAGATTATTATTTTAAAAAGTTCTTCAACCACATGAATCTAGCCGCCGAACTAGACTGTGCATTATTCTCTCTATTATTTTCCAGCTGGAACTTATAACTAATTCTACGATGGTACTTTTTTTTTGTAACTTGATATATCAAATTAGGTATCAGGCAAATGAAGTAAAGATTCATAATAATATCACATGCATTAGGTGTATGTTTCGTTAGAAATGTTTATATGTATTTTTATTTTGTCTTTGCTGTTTATCCGTATACACTAACTACTAGCACAATCACAGTTTAAGGAGAACACAAAACATCAGACGTTTTTATTTCTAGATTGATAATATAAATGGCATTAAATTTCACATTTATTCATAATCAAACAGACCCAAAAGACACCCCTCGTTCAACAAATTTAAGACCAAAAAGTGTTCAGATTAGTTTTGTCAAACGAGTCAGTAAAATTAGATTTTAGGTTTGACATTCTATCAAAGATAACTTTTGAGTAAGAGTTAAAAGTCTCTATAAAAAGGTCCTTCAGCTGTGTTCGTTTTCGTCGGTCGTCGTCACCTTTTATTGCGCAAAGCTAAATAAAAGCCAGAATAATTAATTGGATAAAATTCATCTTTTTTTTTTATTTTCACTGTTTATCTATTTTTTTTTTTATGGAACACAGCTACTACAACAAAGGTAAAGCTTCAATCTTTCTTTCCCACTGACATCTCTGGTCTCCGAACTTTTTTCTTTTCTCGTTTTTTTCACTGCTTAGGTTCCTTCTCTGTATGTTAGAGAGATTCCATCTCTACAAAGATCCAAAGCTAAGAACTTTCTAGTCAATGCTGCTTGAGATCTGACTTTTTTTCCCTTCAATCTTCAATGACGCTCTGAAAATCCCCCAAAAACTTAGCCCATCAGGTTTGGTTCTCTCACTCTACAGAACCCTTGTTTTGTAATTGTAAGTTCTCTGAGTTTACAGCTCTAGACTTTTCTTTGGTCTTCTTTGATCTGTTTACTCGTCTTTATCAGACAATGCTATGGATTTGCTGACTTTCTTTCTATTGTCGGTAGCAAAATTGTTTCCAAGATTAGCTGCTGGATTTTTTATTTTCTTTCACCTGTAGTTTTCTTTCCAGCTTTAATATTTAGCTGGCGGTTTGGTCTGAGAACTAATATTCTTGGCAGCTGTCAACTTTTTGGTACTTAGGCAGAATGCTTGTTTGTATGAATCTGAATTTTCTTAAGTCTCTGCTCAAGTTCTTGTCCTTTTGCTTCTTCTATTTCAATTTGAACTCTATAATCTGAAATGGTCCCTCCCATGTTTTGGTATAATCTCTGAAGTCTCAGTTCTAGAAAACATTTAATCTAACTGGCTCTTTTTTTGTTTATGTTTATATGAGACTTTGAGGTGTCTTGAGTTGTAAATACTTTGTCTTTTCAGGTGAATAAGGAAGATGGGATCTGGTTTGAACACTGCATTATCTCGGAAGTACAGTGGTTTGGAGCTCTGGGAGATTATAGTGATTGTTCTCTCTGCTATTTTCGTTGTAGTGTTAGCTATATCACTATGGCTTACTTTCAGAAGAAAAAGCTCTAGATCCTCTTCCAACCAAATCCCTGTTAGCCGCCAGCTTCCTCCAACTGTTTCCGAAGAGATTAAAGAGATTAGAGTGGATGAAGTTTCCTCAAGCAATGGTGGTGGTGGTGGTGGCAATGAATATCCTTCCATAAGCGAGAAGTTTGGGCATAAAGAACCTGAAAAAGGGATAGTAGTAGCAGATTCAGAGAATGGTGATAGTAGCAGGTCAGGCTCGTTTAATCACTTGGAGAAGAATAAAGATGGATCAAGCGTGTCTTCTGCTAATCCTATGACTGCTCCTTCTCCTTTGTCTGGTCTCCCTGAGTTCTCTCACCTAGGATGGGGACATTGGTTTACTCTCAGAGATCTTCAGATGGCTACAAACCAGTTCTCGAGGGAGAATATAATTGGTGATGGTGGGTATGGAGTTGTGTACCGTGGTAACCTTGTTAATGGTTCTCCTGTTGCTGTCAAAAAGTTGCTCAACAATCTGTAAGTGAATCAAGAATTCAAGATTTTCATTTTCCTGATTTTTTTGTTTGTAATGATGTTTTGTGTGTGTTTTAGAGGGCAAGCTGACAAAGACTTCAGAGTAGAGGTTGAAGCTATAGGTCATGTTCGTCATAAAAACTTGGTTCGTCTACTTGGATATTGCATGGAAGGAACGCAGAGGTATGTGTATGCTCTGATTTTAAATGATTACTTTTGAACTTCACTGAACATTGGATGTGTGGTGACATTTGATTAGGATGCTGGTGTATGAGTATGTTAACAATGGGAACTTGGAGCAATGGCTACGTGGAGACAATCAAAACCATGAGTATCTTACATGGGAGGCACGGTTAAAGATTCTTATTGGAACAGCCAAAGCGCTTGCTTACCTTCATGAGGCGATTGAGCCAAAAGTGGTGCACAGAGACATAAAGTCAAGCAACATTCTGATTGATGATAAATTCAATTCTAAGATCTCTGACTTTGGACTTGCGAAGCTGCTTGGTGCTGATAAAAGTTTTATAACTACTAGAGTTATGGGTACCTTTGGGTAAGTAGTTGTGGTGGCTTTTTCACTTTATAAATGTTGAAGAAGGCTTTAATATTGTTAACTAGTTTCTTTTTTACTTTTTCAGGTATGTAGCTCCAGAGTATGCAAACTCTGGTCTTCTGAATGAGAAAAGTGATGTCTATAGTTTTGGTGTTGTACTCTTGGAAGCTATTACTGGTAGATATCCTGTAGACTATGCTCGTCCACCACCTGAGGTGAAGCTCTTTTAAAACACACATAAAACTCTGCTCACTCACAAGGTTTTCTCTAACAATTTCTGATCTTGTAGGTACATTTGGTGGAATGGTTGAAGATGATGGTTCAACAGAGACGATCAGAAGAAGTGATTGACCCAAACCTCAACACAAAACCATCTACAAGTGCATTGAAAAGAACACTCTTGACTGCTTTGAGATGTGTTGATCCAATGTCTGAGAAACGACCTAGGATGAGCCAAGTTGCTCGTATGCTTGAATCCGAAGAATACCCAATTCCTAGAGAGGTATTGACCAAATGAAAATTCTATCATCCTGATAGGTCTTTTGTTGAGTTTTGGTTGCTAAAAGCTCTAACAACTTTGAGAGTTTCAGGATAGAAGAAGACGAAAGAGTGAGAACGGAGCAACAAGAGATTCAGATCCTCCTAGGAACAGCACAGACACTGACAAGAGTGAGTTCCATGACCAAAAGCCTGAAGCTGGATAAGGCATTGGATAACCTGAGGTGTAAATGTTTTCAGAGCTACTTAATGTGAAGAAGCAAGTCCTTTTGTTCGTCTCCAAATGATGTTTCTTCATTTTGTCTTTGGTAATAAGGAGAAAGAGGAGAGGGGAGAGTGTGTTCATCGTTTGGTTTTAGATCACATCATTTGCTTTGCTTGTATAGAGTGTTGTATCGTTTGCTCCTCTACGTTTCTCAATGTAGGTTGTTTCTGGACCAAGAAAATGCTAGGCCTATGTCAAGTCGTTTAGAGAAACGATGTGTAGTTTGTAGTTTGCTTGTGGAGTATTATTGTTTATCTGAGACCGTCTGTTAAATGTCTATTGCAAATCCTCTAACCAAATATTAAAATAGCAGCTAATTTATGATAATATATAAATCAAGAGAATGCTAAAATTAGAAATCACATCTCATATTTTTGTTGCAATAGATTTTGCTGCATATTCTTTTCACAGTTTTTTTTTTTTTTTGATAATGTCACTTATAAAGATAAATCTCAATCATCAAAATTAAATTTCATTATATTATGTTTTCAGTGTTTAATCCTATTAAAGGCTCTATTTCTATTTATATCTACAAATAAACTAGCATTTTAGTTAGTAAAATACACATTTCTAACTTAAAATTGTCATATAATTATTTCAAAAAAAAAAAAAATTTTAAATGACGCATACATTTGTCTCAGATCTGAGATAACTGAAGACTATAAATCTAACATAAATCAAAACCGACGGTTATTCGATCCCGATCCCACACGCCTCTCAATCTCTCAACCACACAATGACGAAAATACCCCTCACCACCATCCTCCTCCTCTTCTCCGTCGCCTTCCTCGCCCTGATCCCACCTTCCACCGCGGAGATCAAATCCCTCGCCATCTCCTCCGACGCCCGCCCCATGATCCTCTTCGAGAAATTCGGATTCACACACACCGGCCACGTGACCGTCTCCGTCTCCTCCGTCTCCGTCGTCTCCACCTCCCCAGATCCGAACCCGAACCCGTCGCGCCTCGGCTTCTTCCTCCTCTCCGAAGAGTCCCTCCTCCAGGTCCTCCTCGAGATGCAGCAGAACGCGAGATTCTGCGTCCTCGACTCCCACTACGTCACGCACCTCTTCACGTTCCGAGATCTGTCCCCTCCGCCGAACTCCCGATTCAACCACTCGTATCCCGTGACCGCTCCCAACGAGTACTCTCTCTTCTTCGCGAATTGCGCTCCCGAGACGAAAGTCTCCATGGCGGTTAGAACCGAGATGTATAACAAAGATCCCAACGGATCTAAGGATTATCTCCCCGCGGGAGCTACTCAGTTACCGTCTTTATACTCCTTCTTTTTCCTATGCTACGTCGTTTTTGTATGTTACTGGAGTTACACTTGCTGGACGAATAAACGCGTTGTGCATCGGATCCATCTCCTCATGGGAGGTTTGCTTTTGATCAAATCGTTGAATCTGATCTGTGCAGCGGAGGATAAGCATTACGTGAAGATCACGGGGACGCCACATGGATGGGATATACTGTTTTACATCTTCCAGTTTATCCGAGTTGTTTTGCTATTCACTGTGATCATCTTGATCGGGACGGGATGGTCTTTCTTGAAGCCGTTTTTGCAGGAGAAGGAGAAGAATGTGTTGATTATTGTGATCCCTCTTCAGGTGTTAGCGAACATCGCTTCGATTGTGATAGGTGAAACGGGGCCGTTTATTAAAGATTGGGTGACGTGGAACCAAGTGTTTTTGCTTGTTGATATTATTTGTTGCTGTGCGATTATCTTCCCTATTGTGTGGTCGATTCGGGCGTTGAGGGAGACGTCGAAGACTGATGGGAAAGCGGCGAGGAACTTGTCGAAGCTGACGTTGTTTAGGCAGTTTTATATTGTTGTGATTGGGTATTTGTATTTCACGAGGATTGTTGTGTTTGCGTTGAAGACGATCGCGGCGTATAAGTATCAGTGGGTGAGCTTTGCGGCGGAGGAGATTGTGAGTTTGGTGTTTTATTTGATTATGTTTTATATGTTTAGGCCTGAGGAGAAGAATGAGTATTTTGCTGTTGATGATGATGAGGAAGAAGCTGCTGCTTTAGCGCTTAGAGATGATGAGTTTGAGCTTTGAAGATGGAGGGTGTTTATGGGTAAAGAGTATGTTTGTGTTAACGTCGTCTGCTGATATTTTGCAACTTTCAGTTTTGTGTTAAATTTTGTTATTTCTTTACATGGAGAATTCATTGTTACAGATGTTCACACGCTTTTATATAGTTTTTCTTTATAGTTTATCGTTTGTGCTCATTTAACCAATGTTTTAGTAATCGTTATCCCATTAGCTTTACTGAGTTCTTTGAAGAGACCAATTCATTTGATGTCTTTCTGTACAGCTGAATTATAAAACTATGAATAAACCAATTATAGTAAAATTAATGTGGTTATACAATGGCCAAAATCCCAAAAAAAAACATGTTTTTAGTAAAAACAGAGTAAAGTACACCATATAGACAAACCAGTTCTCATTATCTCTTTGATCACAATCTTCTCGGTAGAACTTAAAGACAAAAGTTACAGAGGAAATACAATTTGTAAAACCAATTATATGGTGATATATAGTTTGTATAAACTTTTCACTCAACAACAGATTCTCAAGTAACCATCATGTGCTCCAACGATGAACAATCTGGAGAATGGTAAAACACAAATGGTTGATAAATCCGACCTCACTCTTCCTCCATTTTCGGCCACATACAGTTTCTGTGGTATGATCCGCTGATGCTGTTGCTGTTGCTCGTCCTGTCAATTAAACAAAACCTGTCATTGTCACATACCTGATCTTGATGTCACCAAGAATTCTATACTTCTCTTTGTTCAGGCATGTAGCCTAACTGATCAACGTGTGCTTGGTTTAACTCATTAACGTGAAAATCTCGATAAGGAGTTGAGAAAGTACCTCATCTTGAGACTTTGACAGGGAGAAAACCCCAATGTTGTTTCTTGAGATGGAGATAACGTCTTTCCCCCAGATGGAGAAACCTGAAACACCATCGCAGTGTCCGTTGACAGTAAAAGGCTCTGGTGTCCAGCTCCTGTTTCACCACAAGATAAATAATAATGATTATATGTACAAGAAAAGAAAACACCGTGATGACTGTTTCGCTCACTTTCTCAAGTCCCAGATACGTATAGTTTTGTCAAGCGAGCTGGAAACAAGTAAATGGCTCTCAGGTGCCGCTAACTGCAAGAAAGAAAGAGAAAATTCGCAGATGAGAAAAAGGCCATATTGGTTCTTTGAGAGAACTGAGAAACTTAATTCACCTTGGTCACGTATCCGTCGTGAGCTCTCCAGGAGGAAATAATCCCACTTTCCCTCAAGTCAAATAGCCTACACTGGCCAGAACTAAAACCAGCTGCAATCCAAGAAGGTGATACTGATGCTCCGTCTCCTTGTTTCGTTTGAGATCCTCCTGAACAAAGAGCAGAGACGAGAGAAGTAGACCCAGATTCGACAGATTCTCCACTCCAAAGTTGAAGCTTCTGGCCTCTTGCTAGATCTATAAACCTGAATTTTACAGTGGAAATAATTACATATTATCTCTAATGGTTAAACTCTTTTAGTGTAGTTGGATACTCTTTTACCTGAGGGCACCGGATCCGGTTCCGACAACAAGCTGATCCATGTACTCTAAATAATGCATACATGTATACATGTTTCCATCGAAAATCCCACTTGATAACCCATGTGACACATGTCTATTACACTGATTGGAATTATTGTTTGATGACAGATATGAGGAAGCTTGATCTTGATCCGCAGGTGACTCGGAGAACATATATATTAGTTTCCCGGTTTGGTTGTTCCACACATGTATAGTTCCGTCGCAAGATGCTATCTTTCCGGTGGATGACAGGATACTGATGTCATTAACAACCTAAAATATACAACAACAAAAATTAGATGCATACTTCCCATTTTCTAAGTAACATAATCAATTGGCGCTGGAGAAAAGCTTTAGTAAGCCAAGGAACCAACCTCTTCATGGGCATGATATCCAGAGACACAGCTTAAGCTTGCTAGTTCCCACTTCTGAACACTTCCCTTGAACCCTGGATCAATACCTGAGGTGAAAACTGTACACTCATCTTCGGAAACCACTAAAGATCTTAGAGCTCCGCGATGGGCATGAGCTGAAGATAAAACAGACGCTCTAATTTTCCATCGTTGCTCATCTTTGGGGTTTCCAAAACGCCCAATGTCAAGTCCATCCCAACAAGCTACTGGACTAGGAAACCATGACCAGGGTTCATGCACTAAAGGGCTTAAGACTTCTTCTTGTTCTTCAACTGGGTCATGTATATGAGACTTTAAGTGATTGGAGTTTCTTAAAATCTGAGACTGGGAAACTGACCGTCCAGATCCATTGAGCAATGTCTTAGAAGGAGTGTGCTTAGATGCAAGGCCCTTGTTTAACACAGGTTTGGCTTCCATATTATATCGAGAGGATCGTCCTGTATATTCCCACTGAATCACAATAGATTCAGTGATAAATGACTATAGCTCAATGGATGTCTGTATATCAGATATTATTGCAATAGAAACCCAGAATTCCTCTGTGTATGAAGAAAGGATACCTTCCAGTTGTGATGCTTTAGCAGATATTGTTCGAGAAGTAGCCAGGTTGGACATCCCTGACGTAATTTCTCCATACCAAGAAGTGAGGCAAAAGAAGGATATAGAAGCAACCTGCCATTCCTACAATGTTAGGACATAAAATGGAATCACACAAAAGTTATTTACTGATGTATCAGGTGAAAAACGCACACAAGATCCATACGGCTTTTGATTGGAGATTCTGGATGGGAATTTTTTTCAGTTTCCCTGATCTTCCAGTTTAAAGAGTCAGGTGCATCAGTACTTTTCTCAGAGAAAGCAAACTCATCAAAAAGCTCCTTCAACTGCGGAAGAACATGCAATGCAGTCGACTCTTGTCCAATCCGCTGGCAAATTGACATCAGGGAAGTTGCAGCAAACTGGAACATTGAAGAAAACAACATTGAAAAAGAAAATCAAATGTTAAAAGACATTCCATATACTTGCAACGTGCAGTAAAGAGGTGTACTGGTATATACTTCTATAACTAGGGCATTGGTGCATGCCTCGCAGTGGAAATACTAATTGAAAGAATACTATAACAGAGCCCTTAAAACTTTAGCTTAAATTATTTTTGGAGTCTATCTTCTTTCGCCATTTACAGTGAGACACTCAGTGACACCTTCATTATATACATGATTATCCTTCACATCTCCCTCAAAGGCACTGAAAAAGAAAATAGAAGAAGAAAGAAAGAATATCAAGAGTACCTGAAGGACTCGCAACTCTAGATTTTTCTGCATAAGTATTCTTACGTGTAGGCACAACCGACCCTATGCGATGATAGACCAGCCACAACAACAGACGAAAAGTTCAGCGGTTAACAGAAACCTACAATAAAGGTAAGAGACTGAATTTTTTTGTAACATACTTTGGTGAGTTCATGTATGAGCAACTCGTCTGGTATAAGAGCAACTAGCCCATCGAGTGTATTAAGGCAATCAGTCAGTGCTAAAGAACACCAGCTGTGCACAGGCTCTGGTTTTTTCATAGAAGAAAGATCGATACAGAAGCAAACAACATGTTCAAGCAATGGCATCATCTGTTTAACAATGAAGTTCACGCCCAACAGTCTCCCTGAAAAGTTACAACATATCAATCACTTGGCTAAATATGATTCTTCTAAATAGAGATAAGTTGCTTGAACCAACAGATAGGCTGTACCAATTCTAACAAGCACCTCAATCCCATCAGTACATATTCCTTTTCCGAAGTAATTAATCAGAGGTAGTATAGTCTGTATTGAGGAAAAAGTCAGCATCCAATTTAGAGTAATTGGACACACAACATACCAGATGAAAGGTATAATAAAAATAATTGGACAAGAACAGGAAATCTTGTCTCACCTGATGGACTGTAACAGGGGCGCCAAGCTCTTCGCTGGAACCAATCAGCAGCACAGAAGCTTGAGAAGCCGAAATTTTGTCCGGAGAATTATACAAGTTTGATATGACTAGTGGATGAATCATTTCAAGGTATACTCTCTTTCCAATCCGACTCCATAGTTCCCTCACAAAAGAATCTTGAAGAAGAGAAACTTTCAAATGCGAGTAACCTGTTGTCTAAGCATATGATACTTTGTCAGGAGACAATAATTGAACTTAACAGCAAGCCGATATTCTAAGCACACAGAAAGTTATATTTAACAAATTCCACCGGGAACCAACAAAATATGCGTACCAATAAGATCTTCTGGATAGATGGCAAGACAAGTCTTTGCACAGCGATCGGTGTCAAATATTTTGTGAACTCCTTGATAAGTACATAAGCCCATTCACACTCTTGGTCAGATAAAAGTGTCGTCACCAGTGGCAAGCAGTACGCAGCACACATCTCTGACACGAATGATCCCATTACTTTTAAGGCCCCCCGTTTGGCAAAACTAGCAGCATAATACAAGCGTGTCCCACTCTTGGCCAAAAGGTTAAGTGGAGCAGCAAATAAGTAAGCTGATTTTACTGAAGCTGAGAAATACGGAGATTTTAACAGACTCTTTGCTGAGGGCCTCCTAAATTTTTTGAAAGGAAGAGAAAGTAAATAGTCAGTCACACATCGAAAAAGAAGAGAAAATGTCTTACTACATTTATTATCAGCATGTAGCAAAGAGAGTTGTAAACACAGCAAGTATCAAAGATGACCAGGGTTTACCAAAAAAGGTGAGACAAAATACCTTCTCCAGTCTCGTTCAACGCAAGCTTCAACAAGTACTCTAGTAAGAGGAGGAAGTTCCTTAGTTAATTCAGGTAAGTCACCACTTTCTAAATAAGTAGCCAGAGACACTGAGTTAAATAGCGGCTTCATCAAATAAAGTTCTGCCAAGACACAGCCAATAGAGAAAATATCCCCTGCGATGTCCTTTCCTAGGCAGAAATCTTGCCGCCATAGTAACAACTCTTGAATTTCTATAGAAGCTTCGTCTCTCACCTCTATATGCTCCAGAAGATAATTCAAACATATATCGGATGGTAGGCCTTTGTTTCTTGAAGTTCCAGAAACACTAGTATCAGCTTCGTTAGTGTCTTTCATGTAAGATTCATGCAAAGGAGACTCATCCAAGTTTTGATATAAGTGATATTTTGGACTTAGATGTGATGCATGTTCAGAAAATGCAGATGCCTCTTCTGTTTCTTCCAAATACTCATCAGCTACGAGGATGACGGACCTCTTGTTGTCCACCCCAAAGCCATGAAACGTATGCATTTCTTGTTCATTTCTACTTTGTTCCTTCTCGCGAGAAAAACGCAGGCGCACCGGGTGAGGCCTAAAAAAAAGCTGACGGCGTCCAACCGACCTTGGTACTGCTGGCTCAGATGAAGAAAGCATAACATTCTTTGCAGTAATAGCAGCCTGTCCCGACATTTTGTAACCAAAAGTAATATCAATCCAATGATGTATTTGAGATGAAACATGGGGGCTTTCCAGAGCATCTCGATGCAATCTAATGAACTCCTCGGGGGTGCTTGCCCATGGAGGTACAGCCAAATCAGACATACTAGGATGAAGAGAGCAAAAGATGCGTGAATCGCAGTAAAACTCAGGGATGCACTCGTCAGGAGTCCAATCATAAAGCCTTTGCATGTCAGAGGGATACTCATTAGGTTCATACACAGACCGAACTGCCTTACGCAGGACGCTCAGTGGCAGTCTCCTAGCTTTGTAGCTGCAAACAGCCAACTCAGACAGACATTCATCTGAAACATGATGCGGAATCTCAAATGTCGAATAGGTAAAATCTAATTGCTCATCTCCTTTTGCCAATCTCCATTTGCTTTTCCTTAAATCCCGCCAGCCTAAGTCACTATCATTTTCAGGTTTTTTGCTAAAATCTATGACCCACGGCATTACTGGATGAAATGTATGGTCTCCCCACCTTCGACCTGCTAGTTTGTTTAAGAAGAGTAAATACTCAAAATTGCTTACCTCTCCCTTCCACCATTTATCAAAGATAGTCTGCCAGTCCAAATGTGAAGAAATTTTAAGATCAGCATAAAGACCAGAAGAATAACAATCCTCTACACACAAACTTCTTCTTGAAGTAGATGAATTGGCATCTCCAGAGCCTACATCTGGCTTGCTATAGATCTTTAACCAGCTCCACATCGAATCCGACAGGAATATGTTTGATGGACGAATGTCCCCATGGGAGATCCCCAACTCATGCAAGTGAGCTAACACAGACAACAGCTGATATACAATAAAATTTCTATGCCACTCTGACTTTAAAGCACCGGGACTATAGTAGAGAATATTTTCCAATGTAAACGGGGCTTTAGGGAGCACTGAGACCAAACAATCAGATGATGTCAGAACCCCTAGAACCGGTGACAGATTTGGATGCCTGAGACCTGGAAGATCGCTTCTCTCCTCTAGCAACGGTAATCCAAGAAGACGAAGGAAACTTTGAGTTTCTTCTCCAGATAACTCTCCATCAATAAGGCGATTTAGAGAGGCTAAAATATAATCTTCCGGGCACTCAGAAAGGAAAGTAGAAGCAAGCTTTTGAAGATGAGATGCAGAACATCTGCTAATCTGAGCAATTGGTAAAAGTGAAGCTAACTTTCTCCTGCTTGAAAAACTACCTGAAGACTCGCAAGTGATGTTCTCTGTGCTTAAGTCATCATCGTTCGTAGCCTTAGAGTGTGAACAATCCAAATTCTCATCACATTCAACAGAACCGTTTGAATTCCCAAGTCTTTCACTACAAAAAAAAGGAAGTTTACTCAATCACATATAGGAGAAAGATTCAAGTCTTTAGCCAAAAGAAGAAGAAAAAGATTGAGCATACACGTAGTCGGCTAAACATTCATGTTCTTCCTTGCGGAGATACTCCAACACAAACTGTGATGAACTATAATCATAATCAGAAGCAGAAACTCCCTCCTCGCTACCATCAGAAACCTAAACACAATAACACCATTTAAATCAGCTATACTCCCACCATTGAAATCTACTAAAATACATATTGTGTATATTAAACTACCTTAACGACGGCGGAGGATCCAAAAGGAAGAGGAGAATCGGAGAGGCCGTAAGAGAAGACGATCTGATCGGAGAAGTCTGACTTGATCCGTTGCTCGAGACAATCCAAGCATACTTCACCTCCTCGCATCCTTTTATTTTAAATTTCTCAGTATCCTCTTCGCATTCTTTTATTCCGATCTGAAGAGAGTCGTCAATATCTTTTCTTAAGGAAAGCAACGACCAAACCTCGGCGATCTTCTCAAATCAAACGCGGCCAAGCACCGGCGTGTTTCATTCCTTTCACCCAAACGTCGTCGTTTTATCTCTTTACCACCAAGTATAATAATGATTACTGACTAATTTTATTTTAATTTTGGTCCAATACCGGTTTGCTAATCCGGTATGATTTTGTGTTTTTTTAAGACGGCCGTTAAAGTTTCTGATCGGTTTAGTGAGAGGAGGAGGAAGCATGGAAGGAAGATGAGAAGAGAGCTCTCAGAGGAAGCAAGTTCGCGCCGCTTACTTCTCTTCCTTCCTCTTCTCGCTCTCAGCCGTCCAGGTTCTTTTTTTTTCAACTCCACGTGGCTTTTTCATCTTTCTCGATTTTTAGTTTATGAAATTCCCACTTTCCTACAAGATTGGCTCATCCAGGTGGAACGAACAAAGCTGACGCTTTAGCTAAGTTTCTAGAAAGGAAGCTGCAAGATTCTAATGGCTTGTCTTCCATTGATCCTTGATCTTATCGACTTGGCTGTCAAAAACGCCCCAGACACAGTTGTTTCGAGCGAGCATTACATTTAAGACAAAACTCTTTGGTAATGTCTGTTTGAAAGTTTTGAAAATTTTATCATACACCTAAAAGAGTGATATGAAATTTATCATCTTCATAAACATTATAAGGAATTTTCTGTTTATTTTTTTGTTCCTAAATCATTAAACTATTCTAAACCATAACTAGAACAGTTAATGAAGAATCAGCATCAGGCTTTTCAGAGAAGAAGCTGTAAATGTCTTCTTCGGCACCAATCTGATTTCCTTTATGTACACATTACAAAATGAGAAGGGAGGCACAAACGACGTTTCCTTTATAATCTATTATTGATCATAGAGACTTCAAAGAGGATAAGTGTAGATTAGTGTTTTTACCAACGTTACTTGTGCGAGAATCTCTCCGGCTTCTCATGGGCTTTGTGTTTGTGAGAAAATATGAGACGAGGGATATGTTCTTGGAGTGACGTAGCTTCTAGAAATTGCAAGGGCTAAGAGCAGGCTAATGGATAATTAAAAAAAAAAAAAAGAAGTTGTCGTATTGTTTCTGTCAAAAGCATATGAAAGGATCGATCTGGTTTGGGGATCATCAATCAAAAGACATATGAGATTTAAGATTGGTAAAACTCTAAGTCATTGTTTGAGTTTATTTTCAGTTACAAGACAATGTATTTCTTTCACTGTACCAAAAATAGCTGAGGCCCCATTACTCCAGATGTTTCTAGTGTTTTTTTGACCATTTAATTCTCTTTTGTGTAGCCTGAGTCTATTCTCCATGCATGTATGTTGTGATTTTACAATGTTTACTCAAGGCTATATAACATAAGAATACATATATCTTACGATGATTAGTTGTTTCTTATTTGCTTAATTAAGCACCATAGCTTAGATTAATACATTATTTTCCTTTTTTTTTTCAAATCCGAAAGTCATTCACCCTGTAAGCACTTGCGTTAATCCTGCTCTAAGGACTGGCAAATAATATTTAAATTGTTCCAAACCTAAGTTTACAAAAAAAAAACACTAGAAAAGAAAAGCAGCAGAAGACTCTAAATAGGCTTTTTAGTGCATCAAACCATAACATTTAGACAATTCATCAACCCGGAATCAGCAACCAGGACCTGACCACACCACTCAACTTTACCCCAAATTTCTTCTCCTTGACGTCTTTCTACCGAAATCTCCACACACCAAGTCTCCCCCTTGGATTCTACATCTCTTCCTCTACGATAATTTTTAACCTCTTTACAATAAAAAAAAGCCAGCTTCCCACCGTAATTAACAGTGTGCACACACCAGAATTTTTTCATCTTAGAAAACAGCTTTCTCAAATCTTTCACCACTCCCCAACACCTCCGCTTTGGATCATACGTTAGTATATATTTAGCAACAAGAATATCGTCGTCATCTTGATCGTAACGAGGGTAGTAGTATATCATGTCATCAATAACACATGCGGTCGCCCTCTTTATGGAACGCATAATATCCATATCATCCTCTCTCCATATATTTTCCGCTGGGTCGTCAACAAGACTGAAACGAGTAGGACTCAGCCCTAAATACATCTTATCAGCCAACACCATGCACTGATGCACATAATTACCACAAAAGGTCTGGTGGCGCTCCCCAGGCACCTCCATGTCTGGTTTTAAAATCTCAGGCTCCCACATGTGAGTTTTCGTATTGAAAAAGATTAGGACATAATTCTCAAATTCATCCAAGCAACCCATTACGTAAATCTTCTCGTCGATGATATCAGCCATTATATACGATATGGGTACAGGCATGCTGGGAAGGGGTTCCACCGTGTGAGATCTACAGTCTATGCAATACGCACTCGTTTTAGCAATCCCACTACCAAACACGTATATCTTCGAGCCCACCGCGACTAAGCTCTCACTGAGAGTCAGAGTGGGAAGTGAACGGATAGGGACCAAGATGCGATTACCGTTGGCTTTCCGGCAGAGAGTATACCAATGTAAAAGACGGGTTTCTCCCTCAAAGAGAGCACTGTAGAGGCAGTGTTCGGTGCATCCCAGCAGAGATCGTCCTGCGTATAGCTCAGGCGAAGCAACGAGTGACCGGAACTGCTTGGAAACGAGGGAGAGTGTTGGATATTCCCATCTGGAAACACGTGCTAAGATGTCAATGATGACGTCTTCTGGAAGCGACGGAATCAGAGACGGCGCTTCTGATGAGTTCTCCTTTTCCGCCATAGTTTTATTAGTCCTTTAGGATAAAACCCTAATTAAGTTCTCCTTCTCTTAGTTTCGATCTGATATTGCGACAAGATTGGATAACTACGATGGTAGCTTGGACTCTAGCTACAACCAAAAAAAGTCAAGGTGCAACGGTGACGGCTCGTCTTTTTCTCTACGTTAGTAGGGTTTAAGAACATATATATAGTTTCGTAAATATATTTAACAGAATAATTTATCAAACATATTAAAGTGAGTTTTGAATAAATTATCTGGATACATTCTTCATATCTTTTTTTTCCATTTTTTTATAACCGGAATATCCTAACCGACTTGTCCCCTAAGAATTTGTTGACCGGTGTTCTCAATGGAAATTAGTTTTCCATTTTATTCTACAACTAGATATTTTATCCGCGCTACGCGCGGATTATGTCTTTTGAATTTATATTTTAAACTTACAAAATGAAATTTTAAGCTTAATTTCAATATACCTAAATGCATTAATTTTTGTATATGTTGATTTTTTGGTTTATGGTAAAAAAAACTAAATCTAACCCTTTGTACTTTTTTCAATTTATTAAATTTATTTGAATTACACAATTAATAACTAATATTTTAATTTTCATTTCTAACAATTTCTAACATATATATATATATACACATATATATATTCTAATTATTAAATTAAAATTTAAAAAGATGTGACATGCATGTAAATCATGATAATATTTATTATTAAGTTTATTTATATTTGAAAAATTAATATTAGTCTTTTATATTTATATTTATATTTAAATATTAATATTTTAAAGTTAGTATATCTAAATTTATAATTCTGAAAATAGCAGTTTGAATTGGACGAAAGACTATTATTACTAAAAATAGTTTTTATATAATACTTTTCAAATAACTAATTATTTAAATTTTATTTTATATAAAATATATATGAACTTTGTTTTTCTTTTGTTTTTAATTTTCTATAAAAATATAACATATTGTTTTCTTAAATTTTTTAAAAAATGAACTACCATAATTTATAAAAATGATAGAATTCAAATAAAAAAAATTGATATAAACAAAATCTCAATCTTAGTTAAATTGATAATAAAAAATTTCTATTCGAAATCTTTATTAGTTGAAATATTTGATGGAACACTGGTGGTTTTCAATAATATATGAATACTTGTAATGGAATATAACCTCAACTTTGGAAATCATATATGTTTTAAATTTATGTGTATTCGTCAAATCTTGCATTATTTAAAATCTGGCATTTTAAGACATATTTTATGTTAATTATATTTTATTATGAATGTTCAAATGTTTGGTATATATTAAGTGAATTAATTTTCAAGAATTTTTAATTTGTTATTTTATGTTGTTTTATACTGATACGTATTTATTTTATGTTGTTCGTTTACCATATTTTAATTAATTTTCATCTTTCTGAGATAAATATATTTTTGAATTTTTTATATTTTAAAATATTTAATGAGATAGTGATTTTTATATTTTTTATTGATAATTTTAAATTCTGTGTGAAAACTTATAACCTCAACTTATGAAATTTTTTGTAACTAATATAGTTTAAAGTATTTGGAAATTGTATTTTAGAAAATATTGCATTTTGGAATTTATTTTGTTTAGTAAAGGTTTATGATAATTTTCTAAATACTTTGTATAGATATCAGGTTAATTTTAATATTTTTACACTGGACTACTTAGTTACACTCACATGTATTCCATCACATGTTAAGAAATAATTTGTATAGTGAAATATAATATAAATATTCTAGCGTATTAGATTTATCTTCTAGCATATTTGAGTCACTTAGACTCTTGATGAGGTCTCTCAATCCAAAAATTTTCCCACCTTTTCGGCAAAAGAGTGATTTGTTTATTATCATATTTTCCGTTGCTTTCATAAACCTCGGTTGCAGGTTATAATTGTTGTTCAAAAACACTTGCATAATAATACTTAGAACACACGTAAACTTCAGGCAAAATTTTTTTTTGGCTTTTTGATTTATATAGAAAACAAATTTGAACTACGTTCCTACAAACTTGGAAGCAAATGCATAATGGAAAAGATACTGGAAAGGTGATTCATGTTACTCTGTTCCTATCAAATAGGAAGTGAAGTAGTGATCTAATTATTTGCATAAAATAAAAATAAAAAGAGAAGACTAAGTCTCAGAACTTAGCGTTGAACTTTACGTTGTTTTTCTTGTGCAGATGAGTCTTCCATAGTTAGCTTTATTTGCTGACTCATCATGCTGTTACGGTCCCNATACTGGAAAGGTGATTCATGTTACTCTGTTCCTATCAAATAGGAAGTGAAGTAGTGATCTAATTATTTGCATAAAATAAAAATAAAAAGAGAAGACTAAGTCTCAGAACTTAGCGTTGAACTTTACGTTGTTTTTCTTGTGCAGATGAGTCTTCCATAGTTAGCTTTATTTGCTGACTCATCATGCTGTTACGGTCCCCTCTTCATTGTTGCTTTGATTCTACTGGTAAGAAAGATTCCTGCTTCTGTTTCCTAGTCCCGGACAAAAGAAGCTGGTGATCCTATATTCTTATGGTTGCTGCTCGGTTTAGCGCTTCCCTGATCACATCTTCTTAATAGCTTTTCATGTGATTGTTTTGGTGTCTTGGGCTCACCTGAACTACTTGCCTCTACAACAACACCAACTGCTTTCTCTACTGGCTTATCCTTCTCATATCTGCAAGTTAAAAATACTCATGTTATTGATCAACACACTAATCAATGATTTAAAAGATATTTCATAGTTTTTTTTTAAAAAAAAAAAGCAAGAACACCAACCGTGAGAAGGTTGATGCATCAGCGAGGCTAATAAGCTTTTGATGCTTGCTTTCATCTTGATTCTTCTCTAAACTCCCAGAGACACATCTCTTCAGAAAAAGCCCAAGCTCTGGCCTTACATGCTGCTGCTCAGTAGTGTTGTCTTCATGGTAAGGCCGTTTGTCTATTCCACCTATCAAATCCATTGCGATGATGTCAAAAAATTCAACCTTTTTTCTATTTCAATCAGGGTTTGACATCATCGCTGATAACCTGCATAATTGACAATCCCACGAACCAAAAGACATGGAGAAGTGTTTATTGGTACCAATCGAACCACTTCCATGGTCAGAATGATATCTTGAATCTGCACAAGCTTCATCATTGTCTTCTTCAGGTTCTGCTGTGAAGCTTGTAAGCTAGGACCATTACCAGTAAGATCACCACCACGCAACTGATTAATAACCCCAAATAAAAAAAGACAGTCATTAGTCTTTTAAGCTTTAAAATCAATACAAAGGAAACACAACAAAAAAAATAACTTACAGTAACTCTTCTCCAAACGTCGCAGGTTCTTCAGTTGGGTTCGATTGCCATAGATTCGGCTTATTGAGAGGAGTTGTTCGGTTTTGAGTTTTGACTGGAAGCAAGCTAAGGAAATAGAGAGGGGGTGAAACCAAAACATTAAGACCGTAATAATGTTAAGAGGGCAAAAAAAATTGTATGCTGAGGAAAAAAGAAGATGAACAGACATAAAGACTTGATAAAAAAAAAAAGAACAGACAGAAAGACACCGTAATAATGTTTACGCTTTTCCTTCTCTTTACGTTAAACGGGCCAAACAAATTCAAGGTAACATTCTTAGAAGCCCAAAACGAAAATAGTATGTGACATGACCAAATGAAATAATTCTATTGGTTAATTATTTTTATCTAGGTGGACAGCTTCTCCTTTGAGGATATCCTCCTTTTAGTAGTGATATAGATATTAATATAATTTTAAAGTCATTTTACATATCCTTATCTGATATCATCCCCATTTTATTTTGAAAAGAGATAATTTTATGGAAATTTTAATATATTTAACTAAGTTGTAATTAAAAATTACACTACCACCATTTTTAATACTATTTTCATGTATATCTTAATCATATTTATCTTTATTTTTAAAGAAATAAATAGACATTTTTATCCTTAGGTTAACTGATCCAGATTTAGAGTTTAGATGTGAGGGATGAAGTTTTCGAAGGTATAGTTTAGGATGTTTAAAATAAATAAAGAAATAACTAATACTAGATTTTGACCCGCGCTTTAAAAGCGCGGGTATAATTTTACTATTTTGATCAAATTTGATTGATTTTATAAATTTTATTAAAATAAATACTTTTAGGTTTATTATATTAGTGTTTCCAATTTATTCTATTATATTTAATTTCTAGTAAATGTTTTCATATCCGACTCAGATTGTAGTTGAACGGATAGATCCAGCGACCTGTGTTTAATCCGGTTCAGATTTAAAAAAAAAAAAATTTAGTTATAAATTAGATAAAACCTTGAAAAATCCAAAACCCACTATCAATCATGGGTACGATATCTGATGATTTGCGGAAAACATTTTTTTTTTTTTTATTAAATAACTCATACATTTTGATATTATATAAGGTTGAAATTTGTAACATCTTATACTTTGACGAAATTTTTATTAAGTCATTTGAAAAAATGAAATAATGATAATAAAAAAATAAAATTTATTGATATGACAATATTACTTTCTTTTTCATTTTAATAACTTATGAAATTTATTTTTGTTTATTTCAGATGTAAAATTTAATTTTATAATAAATTTTATAATATTTTTGAAAATTCAAAATGTAAAAATGACATGGTAAATAATATTTTTAATCTTCCTATATATATATTCAAATTTTATTGTTAAATAATACTAAGAAAGAAAAATAATATTCAAATTAAATGAAAGATATTATTTACATAAAGTTATAATTAATATTATTTACAAATTATGGATAGTATTAGTTACCAAAAAATAAGGAAAAAATCTGTTGTTTAGTTTAAATAAATAATATAGATATTAAAATTAAATGTCAGTGGCATAGTAATGTAAATAACTTGAAAAAGTAAGGGCAGAATCTTAGTAGGGATCATGCGTTAATAGTATAGATTAAATGAAAGGTATTATTTACATAAAGTTAGAA